GTCACTGTCTGAACTGGGTTTCACGGAGAGGATGTGTGGATGGGATGGAAACCCTCCCTCAGGACCAGTAGGTCTTCCTGCTACTCCTGTAATCCTGTTGGGCGCATGGCAATCAGTCTGATTCCCTAATTTGGACACTGGGCTGGAGGAAGCTCCCTGAAGTTGTCCAAGGCCCCATCTCTCTGGACACACCACGCAGCCATTTCCATCTTAGGGAACAGTGAGGAAGGGCCTCCTCTGCTCTCAGAACTAACAAGTATCATTGGGGTTCTGTTGCTTCCGAGGTGACCTCAGGAGGTGGGGCCCACATCTCTTTCTCTCAGCCCCACCGACATTTAGGTCTTTCTTCCCTCCCACAGCCAGGGGAATTACTTTCTAGAGAGGGAGTAGGAAAGCCTTCCTACGTGTGCTCTCAAATCTTTGATCCAAATCATGAAGCCTTTCCAGTACCCCAAGGAGCCTGGCCTTTAAAACTCAAAGAGCACATGTTCCTCTGATTGCTAAGGTCACACCTCTTTCTGGAGGCAATGAACATTAAAGGGCTGGGAAGTTCAAATACAGGAGAAGAAGGGATAGAAAGAAAATAAATGGAAAAGCTTTGGTTAATTTAAGTTGAATGCTCTTTCCCTAAAATACAAATCACACAGGGGCTAGGATCACATCCCTGGTACTCAGCGAAGTGTCTGGCATCTGCAGCACTTCAGTAAGTGTTTAAGAAGGCAGGAGATTTAAGCTGGGAACTAAGTCTTAGTTGTGCACAGTACATTCCACATTCAATTTGACGAGTACGCACCGAACACCTACTATGTGACAGGCACGTGATAGGTCCTGAGGATATAATGGGGAACAACACAGATGAATTCCCACCTTCATGGACCTTACTCCCATTATTGCTCCTATTACTAAGGGAGACAATAAACAGACAAGAAAATTTATAAGGTGATAAATCATGTAAAAAATAAACAGGGTGAAATGGTAAAAAAAATATCTGGTGACGGGGGAATGAGAATGGGGGATCCAAGCTATTAATCTGATTGCACTTTCCCTCAGAACCCCAACCCAACCCAAGAGTAAAACTCAAACAAACAACAAAAAAACAGTTAACAAAAGTAGTATTATTGAAATATAAAAGTCATATGAAGAGAGCAGTTACAGAACCACATTTGGTATCTACACAATCATCATGCGGGCGACGACATTACACATGGACAGCTGTGGTTAAAATATCTTGGGCGTTTTATTTCCAAAGTGAAGCTCCACAGGCCTATTCTGTGTAAAGTTCTTTCCACTTTCTCAAAAGTTACACGTGACAGAGCAAGTCGGCTGTTTTCATGCAAGTTCAGTTCTTTCTGTTCTATACCTTGTAAAATTCAAAGTTGCCTTTCATGTAGCAGAGAAAATCCAATACCCCCCTTCACCCTAGATAAAGAATAATATTTTCTAGTCTTGCAAGCAGTTTATGAAAGTGTCATTCGACCCTGTATTTTTACAGCTGCTCTGCATTCATTATCAGAGAGGCCCTTCATACAGTATGTTTCTTTCATTTCTACTCAAGGGGTGCTATTATTTTGGAATTATTCAAATTTAAGAGTGATAAAGGGCCTCTCTTCAGGGGTTCTTACTAAACAGACCCCTAGCGTCTTACTCCTTTAAGGAAAAAGGAAAGGTTTTGGAGAAAAAAGCAAAGAAAGGAAAAAGGTGTTAGATTACGAGCCTCTTGATTTGGGAATCAGTACTGTCCACCATGGTGGCTTGGAGACGTTACGCCTTGTCTGGCATTTAGCAGGTGCTCCGTAGGTGGCTGCTGAGTTGAATTGGTTTGGGAAGAAGCAGGGGATTACGATCCTCCTTATACAGATGGGGAAACTGAGGCTCAAAGAACTTATAGGTGTGTTTTTACTTTACCAAGGGCTCTCACCTAAGTGAGCTCACTTAAAAGCTAGTCCTCATAACCATTATGTGTAACGCAGGGAAGGGAAATATTTTCAGGTAAGAAGCTAAGAGTAATGACGTGCTCGACATCCAGTGAATGAGTCACTGCTGACTCCCCTCTACAAAGCTTACGGGTCTCTGCTGCTAAAAAACTAAACCTACTGATGGCAAAGTTCAGGCCCTCAGGCAACAATGAAAAGAAAGTTGCTCTTCTAAGCACAAAAACAATGAGAAAGTTATTGGCCTTCTTAGGAGCTGAAAAAGTCCAGCAATATAGAGAAAAGCGGCTCTACCACCAATACACTATTGGTGGTAGTGTAAACTGATCCTATTTTATGGGGTAAAATTTATTAATACCTACCCAAATCAGAAGGAATCTATCTCTGACATAGCAACTTACTTCATCAGTATATTCCCACTACAGACTTACTGGCACACAGATATATATGTAGAGTACAGAGATATATGAGGAAAAGGAAATAATAAATGTAAGAATACGAATATAAGAATGTTCACTGTGACATTTGTTGTTAGTAACAGAAAACTGAAGACGGCCTAAGTGCCCATCAATAGCTTGCTGGCTACACAAGTTTTCTGGGTGGTAACACTTTACGCAGACATTTGAAATATACCATTAACCTATGTATTGCCATGAAACAAACAAACCAAGACATAGTAAGTCAACAGAAAGCTGCTTAACAGTATGATTTCCTTTGAGTAAAAACACTCATCAAATATTAGTGATGGCTCCCTCTGGAAAGTGAGATGGGCTATGCTGCTGTTTTTTGTTTGTTTTACTTTGTTCAATTCCATACTCCTTGATTTTTCATGGAAATATATTTTTAAAATTCTAAAATCTGAGAGAAGCTGTCTGATTCTGGCTGCCTGAGGAGCTTTTTACGCTTTGCCCACCAGTAAGCAGAGCCCAAGGCATGGCTGGCTGGCTAGGGCCCTCCTGCACCACAGGGGCCTCATGCAGGGCTTGCCTCGCTCACCGCTGGTGCTCAGGAAACATTTTGAGAATAAATAAGGATGGCTCACCCTGGTCACTCTTTTTTGTTGTTGTTAATCCTCACCTAAGGGTATTTTTCCCATTGATTTTCAGAGAGAGAGTGGAAGGGAGGAGGTGAGGAGACAGAAAGAAACATCGATGTGAGAGAGATACATCAACTGGTCAACCCTCCTGTGTGTGGGCTGACACTCTGACCACTGCGCCACACAGGCCAGGACTATCCTGGTCACTCTTTAGTGAAGTGAGATGGAAGGACATCAGAACACAGAGATGGCGTCACCCTAAAAAATCTGTCAGTGGGTTAATGGAGAATAGTTCACAATGACCACATGGATAGGGTTGACTTACATGGAACAAAGGCTGGCTATGTAAGTGTCAACTCACCAAAAAATAATTTGGGGGCTCTATTTGCAATGGATAAAGATTTTTAATGAGTTCTGACCATATGTTACTTTGAGCATCCCTGAGGGCATTTGTCTGTTGGTTTAGAGGTCAGAGCAGCATCAAGTGGGGGGAATCTTGGAGAATGCTCAAGGATCCGGCCAATTCAGTCCCTGAACCTTCTCAGCATGTCCCTGTAGTAGGGAGTTTGGGCTACTTGTATTCCAGAGGTGGGGAGGCAGAGAGGCAGAGTGGGAGGAGGGAGGGGAGAGAAGAGCAGGAGAGGACTGGAA